TAAATGGAAACATTAGCCAGAGCAATTAGATAATAGAAAGAAATAAAGCTAGGAAAGGAAGAAGTTAAATTATCATTATTTGCTGACATGATACTCTGTGGAAGACCCCAAACATTCCAGCAAAAGACTCATAGGATTAATAACCAAATTTGACAGTGTAGCAGGATACACTGGATACACAAGAAAGTCAACACTCAAAAATCAATACCATTACTGTACCTGAATAACAAACTCAACACCTTTCACAATAGCATCAAGAAAAATTAAATTCTTAGGAACCAATCTAATGAAGTAAGTAAAAGGTCTCTACATTGAAAACATAGTACTCTGAGAAATGAGATCAAGATGATAACAGAAAATGGAAGGATAGGCTCTGTTCTTAGATAGGCAGAACCAAGATAGCAAGAATGACCTTACTTCCAAAAATTGTTATACAGGTTCAGTACAATTCCAATCAAATTACCAATAACATACCTTACAGAATTAGAGAAAATAACTCTAAAAATTTATATGTGTTATGGATTAAGAATTGGTGGTCAACTTAACGCCAGCTGGATTACATCAGCATAGTGCTGAGCATAGATGCTCCACCTAAGGAAAGTTGCCAGCATAAATAGAGAGGTGGAGAAGGAGAAGGAAGGCATTAATGCATTGTTGCGTTGAGGTGTTGAGGCATTGTGGGTTCTCCTACGAGTTGCTGTTTGAGCCATTGGTTTTCCTGGAGAAGCTCTGGTCCTCACATCAAGCATTGCTTCCTGGCTCCAGAATGGAAGACATGTGCCGCTTGTCTCCAGGATGAACTCATCATGCTGGCTTCCTGGCAAGTACTCAACTGTGCTTATCGTGGGAAGAGCTCGGGGCCTCCGTATGGCTGAGGATGGCTGTGGTGCCTTTCAGGACAGCCCTGGTCTTTGTTGTGAGTGTGACTTCTCGGCTCCAGTGTAGAACCCTCATCCCACCAGCACAGCTCCTTCACCCTCCCTGCTGGCATGGACTTTCTGGCTCCCACCACTGAACTTTGGGCCTTCCCAGCATGGATCCATAAAAGAGACTGATGTGAGTCTTTCTTGTGGGCTCTGGACCTCCAGTTGGACTCGTGGGAGGATTGTCATGAGCTTTGGTTTTTTCATCTGAACTCATATGGGACATTGTTGTGGGATTTAGGCCCTTAATGAAATATTCTATGTCTTTGGTGTTGCAGATAGAGTTCTTACAGTTGTGTTAACTCTGGGTGACCATCATAAAAATAATATTATAAATTCCATGTCTTGAGTCTAATTGTTCTCTGCACAACCCCTAACTACATCAATATGTATCCAGAAGAGATCTAGAATAGAAAAAGTAATTTTGGGCAAAAAGAGCAAGGCAGGAGGCATCATGATTCCTGATCTGAGGTTATATTACAGCTACCATTATAAAAACAGTATGTTACTGGTAAAAAACCAACCAAACAAAAAAACCAGACCTGCATATTAATGGAACAAAACAAGAGATGCAGAAACAGCTCCAAACACACTCAGCTACCTTATCTTAGACAAAGGAGTCAAAGCCCTTCACTGGAAGAAAGATAGCCTCTTCAATAAATTGTGCTGGGAAAACTGGCTTTGTACATGCCAAAAACTGAACTCTTATCTCTCATCATGCACTAAGCTAAAATTGAAATGAATCAAAGACCTAAATATTAAAACATAAACACTAAGTCTGCTGGAAGTTAGGATAAGTAAAACTCCTAAAAACATAGGTGGAGGTAAAGATTTTGTGAACAAAATCCAATTGCACAGGAAATATTACAGAGAATAGACAATTTGGATTACATCAAATTTAAAAAGCTTTTACATAACGAAATCACCAACTGAGTGAAGAGATGACACACAGAATGAGACAAAAGTTTTATCACTTACTCTTCAGATAAGAACTTAACATCTAGAATATATAAAGAATTAAAAAATGGACATCTGAAATGAATAGATATTTCTCAGATGAAGAAATACAAACAGCAAATAAATATATGAAAAAATCCTCAACATCACTGTCATGTGAGAATGCAAATTAAAATAACACAGATTCCATCTTACTCTCGAATGAATGGCTATCACAAAATCAATCAACAACAAACGGTGAGGCTGTGGAGGAAAAGAAACACTTCTCCACTGTTGGAGGGGGTGTAAACTGGTATAGCCACTATGGAATTCAGTATGGAGATTTTCTCAAAAAATGAAAATATAAGTTCCGTTTGATACAGTAGTTCCCCTGCTAAGTATCTTCCCAAAAGAGTTAGAAGTACCATACCACAGTGATATATGCATACCCATATTTATAGCAGCACAATTTAAAATTGTTAAATCTTGGAAACAATCCATATGCCCATCGACAGGTGAGTGGATTAAAAAATGGTATTTATAGAGAAGAATAAACTTGAATCATTTGTAGGAAATGGATGCACCTGTGAACATACTCCTAAGTGAAATAAATTGGACACACAAGTTAAAATATTGCATTGTTTCTCTTGTGTGAGAAACCCAAAGAGTATATAAGTAGTATGATGAAGGCTAAATATTGTGAAATTGGAAGAAAATATTCAAATGAGAAGGGGAACAAGGGCAGAGTGAGGGAGAAGGGAGAAAAGTAAGAGAAATAAAGAGAATAGAAGGAAAATGGAAACAAAGCTTTTATAAACGAGGAGGGGGAGAAAGGGTACAGGGAATGCAAGGATTGGGGAAAAAAGAAGAATCAAGGTTTATTATGTACAGGTACAAATTCCTTATGATGAATGCGATCAATTTGTATGACCAGTTTGTACAAATAGAAAATTTAAAGTTAAAAACAAAAGTAAAATGGTTAAGATGGTAAATTTCAAGATATGCCAATTTTACCACAATTACAAACTTCTAAATTCAAAACAACAAAATAATACATGTATAATGGACTAATGTATAATCATTAAAACAATGTTTTCTAAAGAATTATCAATAAAATGGGAAAATGCTTATAATATTAAATTAAAGAAAGCACAAAACTGAATTAATGGCCGAATTTTCATTCTGCAAATAAATCATGGCAGAAATATTGGAAGAGTAAAGGCTAGAATTGTAAGAGCAAAGAGCTTGTTGAAGAAATTTTGTATGACTGACTTTCTACCTCACCATCTCGACACAGTATTGTCTTTCACTCACTGCTTTTGTAATCAGTAAAAACAAGGACACTAGACGGTACCTTGGGGAGCAGGATTAGTTATATATTACTAATGCCATCAAGCACTTCATATAGGCTCAAGAATGACATTTAAACTTAGAAATACTTCACTAAGATTTCCACATTTTTCTATAAAATATTAGAATAAGGAACCTTGTAGGATGTGGTGATACGTCCTTTTAATTCTAGCACCTTGGGAAGCTAAGGCAGGAGAATCACAAGTTTGAGCTCAGCCTGGGGAGTTTAGTGATTTAGTGAGAACCTGACTCAAAATTTAAAAAAATAAAAATAAAAAAGGGCTGGGGATGTAGTTCAATGTGAAGATCTAGAATTCAATTTCTAGAATGGCAAAAGAAAAATAAAAAGAATAACATTTAAAATTCTATTCTCATAAGACTATTTTTAAGAACCTCATTGCTAGATGATTTTGTCACTGTAAAAACATCATAAAATGCATTTGTGCAAATAAACATAGCTGTGATATCATCTAGTTATGTAGCAGAAAATACCCTTCAACCAGTCTATTAGTTGCTTACGTAAGAGTTCCTGTTCCTGTAAGTTTCTACTAGTTCTGTCTTGAAAAAATGGCTGATCACTGTGATGTATAGCCGGTCATTATGATGCATATTATAAGAACCAATCAGTAACTGCCAAATGCTCTGCTTCTGTACTTCCTGCTTACTTATCCCATATAAGCCTCAAAGTACCAAGGATTAGACTTGATATTTTGAGAATGATCCTGATCAGTGCCCATTGATGTTAAATAAATCTGCCTCCAAATCCTGGGTGTTGTTTTGGTGTTTCTGCTTGCCATTGCAGTAATGTAATCATAGGGGACCCTCACTTTCATTTACATGATTTGTGGACAGAAGCATAATATGTGGTACTTGAATGTGCTGTCTATTGACTTTTAGTTGAAGGGATTGATTTAAATCTGTGTTTGGTTTTCCTCATTTCAAATTTTCCATTCAGTTGACCTGAAAGACAGAAAAGAAAAACAAGTAGGTAATGCCACTGAAAAATTGGGAAAGGTGCCATTACTACGTCTAATGACCCGGAGGAGTTTATGTAGAATATACAGCAATGAACACTGGACTGATGGAAGTGCCTATTGGATGGGATTTCAAGTATTCAAAGGCCATGTCAGCGGGGAAATTGAGTTGTAGAGTCTCTAAGCTGGAGGGAAGGACAGGTTATGTGACTGGTGACATTGCTGGAGGATTCTCACACTAATGGTATTAATATCCCAAGAAAGCTGCCCCAATACTATTTCATAGAGATTATTTAGTGAGGTTGATGATTGGAAGAAAGCAGAAGTGTTGCCACAGGCAGATTTCTGACAGAGTCAGTCATAGCAACGGAGGAAGACAGCCAATGCCCAGCTGACCTGGGCTGTTTCAGGAAAAGGGAGAGAGAAGGTCCCTGGGGGAACAGCCACAGAAATGCTTCTTTTTGTAGCTTGGTCTTTCTCCTCATAGAAAAACAACACAACTGTACATATTAAAAACACACCCACAACCACAACATGTTAATTTTAGTGGTTACGTGGGCCCTGGGCAGGACTCACATTGAGTAATAAAGTTAGTTACAACATTAAACAGCTGAGGAATTCCCTCTCTATTTAGTGTACTCTTCATGAGAGTTGTCACTCTCATGATCCATGGAAGTTATTTTATTAGAATTTAAACCTTAAAATCTTTGAGATAATGTGATTAGCAAAAAAATTCTTTTAGGACTAGTATCTGGTTTTTGCTTTCTTTAAGCCTCCTACTTCTACAAAATCATTATATTCTTTTTTCCTCCTTCAGGAATTGTGAAGGACAGAATATTCGATACAAGACATGCAGCCATCACGTAAGTCCTAGAATAACAATATAAAACCCAACAAAGTCATGTTTTAAGTATAAGTATTGTAAAGCTAACAATTTTTTGTGAAGCTTGAGTACTTGTTGAATTGACAACTGCTTTTGTGTATCCAGTATCTTCTATTTATCCTAGCTTGTTGACCATTTAATAATTTCCTTTTTCATAGAAATAATACGTAACACCATAAACTCCTGCAGAGTTTATAGTGTTTTGGTTCACTCTCTCGCCTGAACTGCACAGGGTCTCTCAGCTACAGGCAGGCAAATGTGATTATTTCTGATACGCAACCAAGGAACTGCAGCAGAGAAAGGGAAAGATGAATTTACGGTTATATCAGAAGAATACAAAGAATGTGGACTTGAACAGTCTAGCACTGTGTCTGCCACCGCAAACCATCTGTCTTGTCCAGTACAAAATATGTTCAGGCGACTTGTCAGAAGATCACATGAAATGAGAGATGTATACAAACCTCACTCTTATTTCCCATCAGTCACTACTAAAATAAATTAGAATATTTTTCTTTGCAAGTGTAAAAAATACCAACTAGACACAAGGATTCAATCTTCCTTTCCACTCAAAACATTTCCCTTGTTACTGCCATTGATGCACACCCAAATTAAAATGGTAGGAATTAAAAGGAAACCGAGATGCTGAAGAATTCATCTGATGAGATTTAGTTGTTCCCTTGCACAGCAGTTTGAAAAGATCCCCAGTTCTTTGGGATGATGAAATGATGCTGCAGGCCGTGATAACTAAAGCCTGGTAGCTTGGAATAACACATGTGCCATGAGTGCTGATGTAATCGGTGAGACAGTACATTGTAAGAGATCACTGTGGGCGCTCCAAGCCCTGGAACAGCAGGACAGAGCAGAATATCCACAGTTAGCAAGGGGTAAAGGTCAGGGAAGAGCAGGGAATGACCCCTTCTGTGTGTCCTTGTGTCTCCTGCCGCAGTCCCCAGAAGGTCCTCTGCCTAAGGTAGACTTTACAGCTGCATTTCCTGAATCCTGCAGCCACAGCAGAGGATGCTACATATAATGGACTCCAGACATGAAAGGGAAAGTCAGCTGAGCTGTTGCACTGGAGGCGAGAGGGACGTGCATGCTGAGTGCACAGATGAAAAATCTTTGCTGTGCAGGGGGTGGTGCTTCAAGAGGAAAGAGTCGGTGTCTCGACCACATTGCTGTCCCCAAGAAATCAGGCTGTGGTTCAGTGGCTCTCCCAGGTCCATTCTGTTGGGGAGATAGGGCTTTCAGCCTTGGGACTGAAAGACGAGGAACAGGCATGCCTGTGTGCAGGGCTCTGGCTCCCACATGCCTGCTGTCCCCAGACAGAAGCATCATTCAGCACTAAGCATAGATCCTTAAAAGCTGGCGCCTGGACCCATGGCCCCAGAAAAGAATGACTCTTATCACAGGTCTATCAGAGCAGTGGCAGTCTCCAAGAGAAGTCATGCGTGTCATCCAGGAGGTCTCACATCTGAATTCGCTGCAGGTTTTCTTATACCAGAGTTTTAGGATTAATGGCAATCATGGTAGAGACAAAGAGAAAAGTACTTCTGCTTATGCAGTATATCACAATTTGGCAAGAATGTTTGTGATATGTACATATTTATCATGAGCACAATTAGGTCTCCAGACCTCCAGACCTCCACCATAAAGTCACCCTGATCCTCCTGAAATGCCACCTTTTCTATGCCACTGCCCTATTTGAATCCTCAGTACTTTTCAGTTCCCCCACTCACATGCAGAAACCTTGAGACATTGACTGAATATGTATGGTGTGTTCAAAACATATAGTGAGTGTTTATTACAGTAAAAGGCACATTGCTCTGAATCTGGCCCAGAATCTTCCCATTTCTTTGAACACACTATCCCATTATCCTTGCCCCTTTCTGAAACAGCTCTGGAGATCCTTTCTTGGATATCTTTAGTTGTGTTGTGACTGCCTCAATTCAAAATTTTGACCTTTCAATCATTTTTTTTACTTCAAGGGAGATCCAGAAGTCTTACCAAGATCTGATGAATAGGGTGGAAGAGGACACTTTGTAATGTTTTTGCCAGCCTGCATTTTGTGGGTGGTAGCTGGCAACAGCATTCACCATATTTTTGGTCACAGTTTATAAAACATGCTCATGAAAGAGGACTTCCAGAATTGCTTTAGCAAGTGACAAGAACAATTGGATAAGTATGTGCAGAGCCAGGGGATGTATTTAGAGGGGATTAAAGGTAATGTGTCTTTCATTGTAATATTTTTTTAAAAGTCTAGACTTTCACTCTACAGTTCAACCACACTTTGAATCTCTTCTTCAATGCACAAATCTCATGTTTGATGAACAATGCAGTGCAAGTCCCCTTAAAGATACTAAATTTATTTTTGTTTGCTCATGCTGTGTTCTATGTCTCGGTGAATTCCTGTTTACATCACACCATCCTTTAAATCTCATCCAAGATTTCACGTTTCCACTGTGCCTTATTTTACTAGTTCATGCTTATAGTGTCCGTCTCCCATAATTCATTTTATGCTAGAAATTTTTATCATTTGTTATATACAAAAGGAACACCAAATTTGACTCAGATTACGACTAGGATAAGAAGATAACATGAAAGTTTAAAGTTTTCTTATAAACAAAACAATGTTTCTTAAAGTCCCTACTTAGGGATTATCTGGGAGAGAAATTAAATTTCTAAGCCAAATTAAAGCTTATTAATTATACAGTCCTAGCATAAATAGTCTCTTACATAATACTCTGTCTCTCTTGCATGAAAATACTCAGGTTATTAGGTAATCTTCCTTGGCTTTTCTCCTTAAATAGTCCATGTGGTGTATACATTTCTGTGCTCTTGGGAGGAGAAGGAGACCCTTATTTATAGGGTGATCTGAGTAGGTGCTAGGTATCAGCTGTTGACTGGGGAACCATTTTTGCCTCTCCTCATTATCCTCCTCCCCTTTTTCTCTTCCCTTTTCTCTCTTTTTCTCTTATTTCTTCTCCTCTCTCCCCTACTTCTCCTTCCTCCATTTCTTCTTGTCTTGCTTTCTCTCCTCCTCCTTTTTCTTTTCTGTACTTCCCAGTCTGACCACTGCCTCCTAACACATAATTCTATATTTGATTTATCAATGACCTCTGTCAGGCTAGAGCTAAGTGTTGCTGATCTAGCCTCTATTATTTATTAGCTTTATCTCATCAGCTTTCTGATTTAACTTTTGGGTAAGAATTGCATTCCTTTAATTGCAACCCTCCTATAACTCTACACACCCCACAGTGACACATGATTCCATTCTGTCTCATGCCTATAAAAGCTGCATCTCCAATCAGAGAACAAGCCCACTGAGTGATAGTGTTGGATTATATTCTTTTTATTTTCTGCCCCATGTGACTTAGGGCAAAGCTCATAAAGCATTAAGTAGGTGTTGCTTTAAACCAAACTACTATTTAAGAAACACTTCTCAAGAAAAGGAAAACTGAAGAATGTTGATTGTTCACGTTTCTTAAATATTGACTATATTGTGTAAGACACAAGAATCACCAGATTGTCTTGTCCTGGTATATGGACTGGCTGAATCACTTAGAGGAGGCGTATTGTTGATCGTGGGAGAATGGGAGGTGAAGGAAAGCATTCAGTGTGCGCATCCCCCTCATTTACTAGAACACAGCATCATACAATGGAGTGCTGGTTACTTTGGGAATCTACTTTAACTCTGTCATATCCTGGTCATATATCCTTGCTCTTGCCCTTTAAAACACTTTCTAGGTCTCACCATTTCCTTCACTTACCCAAGGAGGACAGTGATAATCTTGACCTACCCAGCTCCAATCATGGTAGAGAGAAAGCATGATCCTGATAAAAGACTACCTTAATCAGAGATCATCAGTAGCTAAAAACAGAGAATATTACACACATGAGCTCAAGGAAAATGGGGTGCACTGAACGAATGAGTGAGTATTTAGTGGAATTTAGCAGAAACAGGCCTGAGGACCTGGAGCCAGGAATCAGAAAGGGATACAGGTTCCATACACTCTTTCTATTGAAATGCACAGTTTACTCCGTTACCTCATTGTTCTCTACTCTGAGTACTTCCTTGTGTTTCCTCAGAACGCAATTCCAAGAAGAAATGGCCCACCTCACCTAGACAGCTTGAGTTCTCAGCTCCGGCTCTTTTGTGACAATTCCAGATTTCTGAGAACAGATGGACCATATGTTTGCCCCTGGATAGTTGCTGTGGCTATGGAGTACAGGCATGGCCACCCACTAATCTAGGCTTGTGATCTATCTGTCTTCCTTCCATTAGCTGCCCATAGTGTTTTGAAAATTGACTGTTGCATGGAATGTGAGGTGGCGCAGAGTCAGGCAACCAGCACATTTGGTTCCCCAAGAGCGCTACCACATCAGCCAGCCACATGCCGGGGAGCCCCGCATCTCGCTCCCTTTACACTTCCCTTTGGTTTCAGAGACAGGTGCAGAGAAAACTGGCCATGGCTCGAGGGACAGGAGGTGAGGGCATCTTATCACTGATCTTTCTTATGGCCAATTGGAGGGCAAAGTCCTCATTTCAAGAGAGAAAAGCCTCCCAATTTGAGACACGTTCAATTTTCTGGGTTAAGATTTAATCTAGCTAAAGCAACAAGAATGTAAGTATGATAAAGAATTTGTTTTGGAATGTTTTGCAGCAAAATAATACAACTAACCCCAGTGGGTAGTTTGTTATATTCTATGGATTCCCTGCTTGCTTTTAAAAAAGATTTGAGGCATTTTATAAAGGCCAGAATGAGACACACAGTATGTCATGGTGAATTGATGGTCAACCTGAGTGGGATTCGCCCAGCTGAGTTGAATCAGCCTGGCTCTGGGGATGGAAAATCCTCTTGAAGGAAGATTGTTGTCCGAATGGTGTAAAAGGACAAGAAGAGAGAAGGATTTTGGCTCATTTTCCTTGGAAGAACTTTCCTAAGGCTGATTTTCCTTGAAGGAGCTTGGATGTTCCCTTTAAGGGAGTTCTGGTCCTTGCCTTCACCTTGGGTGTTGTCACCTTGGGTGACATCTCCTGGCTTTCGGCACAGATCGCAGCACGTGCCTTTTGGCCTGTCAGTGCAGACTCCAGCTTCTGGCTCTAGTGTTTGACCTCCTGGCCCCAACCCTTCTGTCTTCTGTCATGGATCCTTTGGCCTCCTGATAATGGATTTGTACAGGATACGGAATGAGCACCAGGCCTTCAGTGCAGTCCTTGGTTCTCTAGGGCAGGACCTGTTGCAGTCTTCTACGTTTGACAATGTGGGTAGCCACTGTAGCCCAGTCATCTAGATTTCTGTGTCCTGCTTTAAGTCTGACTCAGAGGACATGCGGTCTTTTGAGGAGCCTTGCCCCAGCTCTGCAAGCTCTTGTAAGCACTGACTAATACCCAGTCAAACCCAAAAGTCAAGTAGCAAAAAGAAGAAAAATGAAAAGTATATCTGAAAATTATTAGTAACTTCTTGTGGGAAAAAAAAGTAGAGCCAGATTTCCCCCTCACACCATTCACCTGAATAAATTTCAGATATAAGAAAGAGTTAAATACAATTGCCTATCTTAAAAAGAGCTAGAAAAATACAATTGCTTATCTAAAAAAGAACTTGTGGCAAGATGAAAGCATTTCTAGACCATTAATAAAGAAATAAACCATAAACAGAAATATTAGTAGCACTGACTGCATAAAAATTCAAAGCTTCTTCACCAAGTGCTAAAAGCAAAAATAAGTGAGAAAAATATTTCCAACACAAATGACAAAATTTGGTAACTTATTATGGATGTTAATATTCTTTATCTGCTAAAAATAATAAAAAGACAAACAGTGCAATAGATAAACCAAGACAGGCCATAAAACAAGAATGTTTTTGAGTAATTGTACAAAAAGCAAGTATATGTGGGGAGATATTAAGCTTAAATTATAAAGAAATATAAGTGAAAGCAATGAAATTCTGTTTTTCACTTCTGGTTGGAAAAAGAGAATTATAATATCCAAACTGAAAAGCAGTATTGAAAAAAGGTAATTTGTTAGTGATACCTTCCTAGAGGTAATTTGCAGTATTTTATGTAGTCTGTAAACCAAACGTATACTTTGACTCAGAAATTTGACTTCTAGAAACAGCAAAAAAGAAAAAAAAAAAAAGAAACTAGTACTTAGGAAATAACCAAGAATAAAGATTTAGATACAAGAGTCCTTGTTTCTTGTTCTTTTTTGCTAATAGCATTTCTCAGAGTTTTCACCATGACTATTATTTTCAGAATAAGAAAAACTTAGTTAATATATTACCTTTTTCTGTATCTGTGTTCTTTAGTTAGGAAATCTGTACACCAAAAAAATGGATTTTTAATAAGTGAACTTTTTAAAATTGACTATCCAGCATGTTGCCTTAGAAATATCTGTAGGAAAAAGTAATTTAGTTAAAAGATCCCTGAGTCATCAGTATTTACACAAGCACTTATTATTATTATCATCATTATTATCATTATTAGTGTGTCTGAGGATGTTTACTGGACCTGTTTGCTTTTGTTGTCTGCTGCCCAACCTACAGCCAGTTGAGGGCAGGCATTTGTTGCCAGCAAAGAGCAATAGGTGCACTTGACAAGGGAGAAAAGCAGATAAATTAACCAATGACACAAGTGTAGACAGGAGTTTCTCCCGAAGCACCACAGTTTAGAGATGGTTAATTTAATGCAAATCACCCTTCCCACTGAAATAGCTCCTGGAGGCATGGCTAATAATTTATGCTACTATGGAGACCTTGAATCCCCTGGAAAAATTACAGGCATTTAGTTTTCTTCAAAAAGGAGGGGACAATGGAATGGAATGAATTACATGAAATTGGTTAAAACAGGACAGATTTGATGCCTAAATACTGAAATATTTAAATATCTGAAAAAAAACCACTTAAGTAGAAGAGTGATCACAGCAAACAAAATAATTCCTTACATAGATCATTATCGTGATGAGCCCAGGGAAATTCCACAGCTATAGAGTCTGTTTCTACTTTTAAAAAGAGGCAAGATGAAGGAACAAGGTGACTCCCAGGAGGAAGGTAAGTAGAGCTGGTCTCCTGGGATTCTGGTGTCATCATTCAGCCTTCTCTTGGGCCCTGTCACTGGGTGATGTATCAAAGGGTGATGACTTTTTCTCTGCTTCCAGGATTGTCCTCCAGATGCAGAAGACTTCAGAGCCCAGCAGTGCTCAGCCTACAATGACGTCCAGTATCAGGGGCATTATTATGAATGGCTTCCACGGTATAATGATCCCACTGCCCCGTGTGCACTCAAGTGCCATGCACGAGGGCAGAACTTGGTAGTGGAACTGGCACCCAAAGTGCTAGATGGAACTCGCTGCAATGCGGACTCCCTGGACATGTGCATCAGTGGCGTCTGCCAGGTGAGCCAGACCTGCCTGTCATGTCCCTGCCTCTGGGATGCACATGCCCTTTCTCAGTAAAGAGAATCTTCTGCTCCTGTACTTCTGATCATGCAGATGAAAGTATTGTTTTTGACTATCATATTATAAAAATATTTAAAAGAATATTTCTAGCCTTTAAATCATGTTTATACTGGCTCTCTAGGGTAAACATATACCAGAATTCTGGGAGGACTTGTGGTAACTAGGTTACTGGGTCCACCTCCACAATTTCCAACTCAGCAGAACTTGCACTTCTGACAAGTTCCCAGAGATACTCATGGTGCTGGTTGGAGGACCATACTTTGAGAACTGTTACTTTAGAAGAAAAACACTGGTAGATTTTCTAGATTTTGTTATTAAAACTAATGAGTGTTTCATTGCTATGATGAAATACTTGAGGAATACAGTTTAAAAGAGGAAAGGTTTATTTTTCACCACAGTTTCAGAGGTCACTGTCCATAGTCCCACAGCTCTGTTGTTTCTAGGCCTGTGGAAACAGAAATATCACAGTGGAAGAGTACGGCGGGGGAGAGATGTATATCTTATGGTGAGCAGAAAGGGAGAAAGAGAGAAACAGCCCAAAGAGAACGGTTATGGAAGCAGGTTTAGCCCTAAGGCCACACCCCATGATCCACTCCCTTTAGTTTGGCCCTTCTTTCTGTTTCTCTCACCATTCCATAGTGCTGCTAAATCATGATCTTATCAATGAATTAACCCACTGATGCAGTTTATGCCCTTATGACCCAATCCTGAAGCCCATCCTTTAAACAAATAAGCTTTTAGGGGGGATTTTTAGATTTAAACTATATTTGCTTTGAGTTTTGGGGAGCAATGCCTGACTTAACTGAGTGAGTGCATTTTACAGATTTCTCAGAGTGGATTTTATAGAGCTGTGATGAGTGATGACTGTGCCTGAGATGTAAACCTCAGGGGCTCATAATGAATGGGAGGTTTTGGGATACTGCTGTGGAGGCAGCGTGGGGGCTGCAAATAAATGACAAAATTCCACCCATTTTTCTGATCTCTGAAAAATGCTTTAAAAATAATGAATGGGTAGTATTCATCTACTCTTTATGTTCATAACACAGACAGGAACAAAGCAAGCAACCAACCAAGTCAGCTATTGCCAGGAGACTCAAGTCTAAGGTGAACTATGATCTTCTTTAAATCAGCTTCATCTTTGTTTATTCTTCATCTGAAAAATGGCCTGTATTCGCTTACCCCACAACTTTGCCTTCACTCTTGAGTCTTCTCTTTCAATACACAACTCTAATCCATTGCTAAGTTCTACCCATTTTCCATCCAAAGGAAAGTCTTAATCCATCACATCTTTCCATCTTTACTGACTTCTGTCCTACTGTAAGCCCCCTTTAGCTCTGACCTACAGTGTATTAATAACCTCCTGCTCTGTATTCCCAGTTCCATCGTTTCCTCAAATCCATTTTCCATAACAGACAGCTAGTGCTTGTCTTAAAATATACATCAGAAGTTGTCTTTCCACTGTGCCTCCAAGCCCCCAAAGGCTGCCATCCCATTAGTAATGAGATCCAGGACTGCCTTTGCAGGATCCTCATATAATCTTCTTTATCCACATTTTTCTTTAATAGACCTAATTTTTAGAACCTTTTGGATTGACAGCAAAATTTAATAGAAGTTAAAGATTTCTACCCTGCCCTCTTACCATACATACATCCAGCACACTACTGCCAACATTTTCCAAAGAATAATATGATCGTTATAGTTGAGGAACCTGTATCAACATCATTACCCAAGGATTTACTCTTGGAATTGTACATTCTATGGGTTTGGACAAATATATAATGACACATATCCCCTATGTACACAACAGTTTAACCACTCTAAAAGTCCTCTGTGCTTTCCCTTTCATCTCCTATAACCCTTGGAAACCACTAGTCTTTTTATTGATTCCATGGTTTTGCCTTTTCCAGAATGTCATTTGTTGAAATCATACAGAATATAGCCTTTTCAGATTGGCTTCTTTCACTTAATGATACGCATTTAAGTTTCCCCCACATCTTTCTGTATGTTGTTGACCGTCTCTTTTGTGTGCTGTTCTTGTGCTGATACCATCTGTTTGGTTATTGACACTTCACGGTAAGTTGAATTTATGTACTATGAGTCCTCCAGCTCCACTCTTCTCCTGTATTGCATGAACTACTATGAGCTTTTATCCAGTATAAACTGTAGAAATACTCTTTTAGTAACCAAAAAAAAAAATGACTGGAATCAAACTAGAAAGAGATAACATTTTGAAAATATTGAATCTTCCTGTGAATATGAAATGTTTCCATTTATTTATATTCCAGTTTTGCATCAGACTTTTGTAGTTTTTTGCAACAATCTTGTGCATATCTTTTTAGACTTACACCTAAGTATATCCTTTATCAGGTGCTCCTGTAAGTGATATTGTTTTTTCAATTTCAAATTCCACTTGTTCTTTCTTCAAGAAGTGATCGGCTTTTGTGTAGTAACCTTGCATCCAGCAACCGTAGTTTCAGGAAGTTGTGGAGTTTTCTTTGTTATCATTTGTTTCAGATTTTGTGCATAGTCACCCATGTTATCTGTGAACAAAGACAAGAACAGCTTTATTTCTTTCTTCCCAATCATCAGTATAACTTTTGTTTTATTGTGATAGCTAGGACATCTAAGATAATGTTGAAAAGCTATGATAAGAGCGAATATCTTTGCCTATGCCTGGTTTCAGCAAGAAAGTGTCTAGCCTTCCCATGATTAAATCAATGATGTTAAGAATAAATTTTGTAAATATCATCAAGTTGAAGAAATTCTTCTCTGTTCCTTATTTGCTGAAGGTTTTTATCCTGAGTGAATGATGGATTTTGTCACATGCTTTATCTGTATCTCTTGATGTGATCATGTGATTCTTTTTCTTCTTTGGCTGATTTATTACATTAACTGGTTTTTGAATGTTGAACCAGCTTTACATGCCTGAGATAAATTCCATCAGGTTGTGGTATATTATTTTCTCTATGCATTGTTGGGTTTGATTTACTGATGTTTTGTTGAGGATTTTTGCACTTGTGTTCATGGAAAAAGATAAAGTATTTCCTTCACTTCTATTTTCTGAAAGAGATGATAAGCATTGGTATAATTTCTCCTCAAGGTGTTGAATGTAACAGGGAATACTTTGTTTTTTGGTGGTACTTAATCACTGATTAAATGCCTTTAATGAGTATAGGGTTACTTACATTGTTTCTTTCTTCTTGTGAGAATTTAGGAAGATTGCCTCTTTTTAGAGATAATCAGATTTGTTGCCGTAGAGCTGCTCTTAATGTTCCTTTATTACCCTTTTAAAGGCCGTAGGATCTGATCTGTATTACAGTTGCCACTTCTGTTTCTGATACTACTATTTTAGTTCTCCTTTTTCCTTTTATTGATATGCCCCAAGGAGACTGACTAATAAAATATCAATTTTATTAATCTTTTTAAAAAACCAACTTTTGATTTCATGGATTTTTCTCTATCAATTTTATTTTCACTTTCACTGATATTTTGACTCTAATTTTTAATATTTATTGTCTTATGCTTATTTTGGATTTAATTTTCTCTTCTAGTTTCCTAATGTGGAGGCTTAAATGTGATTTCAGATCTAGTTTAATCCCATCCTGGTCTTGTATATATGCTCATGGCTACTCTTAGGTATCTTTATGGTATCACCTTAATGTCACTTCCTTAAGTGGCATCTTGTGATTACTTTATCTAAATTGGTTCTTCTGGTTCTATTATAGTACTGTTTTGTTGGCATTTATAGCATTTTATAATTATATATATATATATATATATATATATATATCCAGTGATTATTTGATTTGTGACAGTCCCCTACTCCAGAATGTAAGTTTGAGGGTAGAAGTCAGGTATGGGTACTTACCTTAAAATATCCTGGTCCTGTGATTGAAAATGATGCAGAGGTTGTTCAGTTACCTTGGTCTCCTTTTTACTTCTGTCTCACCCTCCAATTCTGCATCGTCCAGCTCAAGCTTGTTGTTTCTCTAGGACAGCTGATTGGTCCCTCCGTAGCATTCCTTCAGTACACTCCTGCAAGTAAGGTTGCTCATCCTGTTCAAGTCTATGAGTTCTTCCAACTGTCCTTTCTGGTCATTTTGTGTATGACCCCACAGTTCTCTTCAGAAGTCATATTGTAGTCATCAGTGTACTTACTTATTTGTCCTTTATATCCAGATCTCTCTACCCTTGCTCTTAAATTTTACTCTTTCACTCTTATTTGTCATCTTTTTATTGTAAGACTAGACCAGCCAACCTCCCTCAGCTGGCTAGCCAGTCCTGTTTACAACATCATTTGATACTTTTTACTGATTAATTTTCCTGTAGGTCAAAACTACTATTTTCTTCTGTTTATTGTTATTAATTCATTCTTGATTTTGTGTACTAAGTGATCATAATCTTTATTGGTGGGTTTATGTTTTTTGTTTTCCACATTATTGATAATAAACATATATTGTTTCATAATTAAAATGCCTTTGTTATTAGAAGCAAAGTAATCTGAGCACAAGGAGAACACCCTGGGTGAGGTGTGTTTGGATTCTGAGGTCATGACAAGTTGATTAGAAGTTAGACAAATCAAAGTAAAGGAGGAGATTACAAATGGAGAAAATAGGGAGGTAACACCAGGTAAGTTTAGGGGTATCTGACTCATTTGATAGGATTGTGGTAAAAAATACCTATAAGGTGAGGTACAAATTTTGGTGAAAACAATATAAGCTGTAAGTTGTAGAAGGAGATATTGAAGAACTTGGTAAGAAATAGCTCAATTGATCTTGTTGTCAGAAAGATTACTTTATTGGCATTGTGGCAGGTTGGAGTGGACAGGACCTAGGCAAACAATGGAAAGTTTATTTTGGAATGATTTGAGCTTATTAAAGGTAAGCTCAGGAAGGAGGATAAAGAAAGGGAGGTAATATTTAGAGATGAAAGAAGCA